TATATATATAGTTTAAAAAAATGTTGAGCCTTTTGCACATGCCAAATTTGAAAAGATCTCCATGTCAATCAGATAAACTCTCAATTATTCACATGGACATCTTGCCCAACAGCGTAAATGTACTGTCCCTCAATATAATTCAACTCACCGCCATTCATGTTTTAGCCACTGGTAACAAAAGTGAGGAAAACGTCGAATTAGCTGTTTCGCTGTCTGGTGTCAAGTGACTGATTTGTAAGTGATAAAAGCTCTTTGGGTGGAAAAGCAGAGCAGGTGTGTTAAATGTGATGTTATCGCTCAAAAGACTCTGGCCTACAGGCCACTGAAAGCTCAATCTGGTAAAGAACTCCCTGAGGATCGAGCAAAAAGAATTGATGCTATAGAGGACAAGTTGTATTCAGAGCAGGCCTGGTCATGGCCGACCAAAAGAAGTGGAGTGCGTGTGCTAAACGTCATATCCGCTGTTTGTCTTTCGACATATGAGTGCTGCAGAGGTTGGAATAGGGTTGAGTGCGCCTGTCAATGGATATATGTTGCACACTGCTCCGATTTGGTCTGCATGACTGTCATCCAAAATGGAAGCCTCTTCTAAAAATTTTGCACAGAATAGCTGTGAACAGTTTCCTGTTGAGCATTCGAATAGCATGAATTGCTGGAACCATACCCTGTGGTCTGATGAGCCAAGATTATCTCTTTGGTTCAGATGATGTCAACCGTGTGTGCTGTGTAAACCATTTGAGGAGTACAAAGACTAATGAGTATTGCCTTCTTGCCCATAGTCAAGCATGGTAGCAGTGGGAGTGTCGTGATCTGGGTTTGTTTGAGTTCTGCTGGTACTGGGAAGCTACAGTTCATTACGGAATGCCCACATGTAATGAATACAGAAGCGGAACATGATATATTTGCTTCAAACACTGGGCTGCAGCGATAATGTCCAACATGACAGCAACCCGAAAAATCTCTCAAGGCACCACTGCCTTGCTCAACAATGACTACCCATCCATCCATTTTCCGATCCGCTTATCCTCACAAGGGTCGCGGGGGGTGCTGGAGCCTATCCCAGCCACCTTCGGGCGGTAGGCGGGGACACCCTGAACCGGTTGCCAGCCAACCGCAGGACACACAGGGACGAACAACCATCCACGCTCACACTCACACTCAAACCGAGGGACAATTGAGAGTGTTCAATCAGCTTGCCATGCACATTTTTGGAATGTGGGAGGAAACTGGAGTACCCGGAGAAAACCCACACAGGCCCGGGGAGAACATGCAAACTCCACACAGGGAGGCCGGAGCTGGAATTGAACCCGGTACCTCTGCACTGAGAGGTCAAACTACTGCACCACCGGGCAGCCCACAATGACTACTTTTGGCAAAAAAAAAATAAAATAAAATAAAAAACGTGAACCTTGAGCAAAAATGACACTTAGCAAAAGTTTTTTTCTGCAGTTTTCATGAATGACATTAAATAATCAGTTGTTTTATGTTCTAGTTTTGGTAAATCATCAACAGGTGTTTTAGGGGGTACTCACTGTATGACAAAAGGCTTGGGGGTACATGACAAAAAAAAGTTGGGAACCACTGTTATAGAGTGTTTTTGATAGTTCATAATTGTGTGCAGAGTTTGTACTTTGTACAACATCCTCCTGAATCCTTAATTTGTTTTACTTGACCTATGGTGCACCGTTCAATTTGCTATTGGGGCACTCTTCTTGGCAGTGAATGATTTTTGTTTACAATTTTGCTATTTCATGAGAAAATGATTGAACAAAATGTGGGATGTACTGACTTGGGATGTGCAGTATATGACACATTACCTTCCCAGTGGTCTTCACTCCATTCCAAATACAGAGGACACACAATAGCCAGGCAAGAAGAAGACAAAGGGCCAACTCCCATCGAACGTTTCCCACATGTTCAATTCCACTTGATAGTCCCAAAATTCTCCTCCTGACGCAGAGATCAATTAGAAACATCCACCAAAAGACACACTTGGGCTTTATATGATGCTATACTTACTCCCAATACTCCACAACCGAAGATGTGCCATTTTCAAACTCTTGCAGTGTGTGATTGGGTCTGTACTCAGAACATGTGTCTTTATTTGCGAAGTGAACGAATAAGAAAGTCAAATGAGGGCAATGGATCAGTATTGGCAAAAACCGGTTCTCGGTACCTGTGTTCCAACTGTTGAGACAGCTGGCCCAGGGCAGCTCAGATGAGAAGGATGCGAACAAGTAGCGGAAGGCCCAAGCCAATATGATGACATAATAAAACGCCAGGTAGAAAAGAACCAGCTGGCTTCCATATCCTACGCCTGGGTACAGTATATGACGAGTAGACAGATGTTATGGGATGGGGAAAGGATACTCGTATCATTGGAAATGGAGCACACACTGCAATGTCACCGGATAGGGTGGACATCCTTATGTCGCAGCAAATTGCAGATTGAATCGGTTGACTATTTCACCCTTGAAACTACTGATTGATTGATGAATTGATTGACCTTCAAAAAGAGGACAGATTGCTCTCCAGCATCTTATTCCGCCCTGCCTGGTGTACTGGCCCAACGATGTCTCCAGGAAGAAGAGCGGCACACCGAAGGTGCAGAAGAACAACAAATAGGGTATGAAGAAGACTCCTTTGAAACAAAAATGACCTTTTATACGTTTGGGGCATTTCTGACGAGAGGGACAAGGTTTAAAAAATGAATTTTGGCAAAATAGAGAACCACCCCCACACCCCTCCAAAAACAGACACAACAGTATAGCAAGAAAAATCTAAAGAAGAATAATAGCAATTTTGATTTCAAATTCAACCGGTGAGTAGGACACCAAAAATACTTCATCTTTGTGCACAGCATCTTTTCTTTTCCTTTTAGTATTGAAACCAACTTTAGCTGTAATGTGTTTACCTCCGCCATTTTTGTAACAAAGGTATGGGAATCTCCAGATATTTCCCAGGCCAATGATACCTCCTGCTGTAGCCAAGATGAATTCCGCTTTCCTGGACCACTGCTCTCTCTGCCGGCCTTTGGGCGCAGCCTCTGCATTGGTCCTGTCGTTCAGCGTGTTCAATTGCATGTCCTCCATTTGGACCAATCTGAACATATCATTGGGGGTGGGGGGGCTTCAAAAAATGTCGTCCTTTACAGAGCAAGGAAGTGAAGTGAAAGGCTCACTAAAATGCAGTTGAACCATGGGATACCTCACAGCTAAACAACAAAGCAATATTTTGACCATAATGAGAATGCTCAACTTAAACATCGTGAATGAGTCTTAATCATGTTAATAATTCAGATAATAATAATTCACTGTGCAGATTTATTGCCAAAATGATGTTTTTAATGCTAAAATATAATTGTATTCCAATTTTCTTATTTCATTAATTTTGCACATTGTCAAGATCATGTTGTCTATGAACCGAATCAAACATACTGACAACATTCTAATGCACTTTGTTATATATGAAGTTGATTAATTTTTGTTGCTGAATGAATTAAATTCTTGAATACAGACAGTGGTTTTCGTTCGTTAAGTGCTTAATTAATTTCCGATTTATCAGACAAGCTCAGTGAGCTAGCTCAAAAGTGGAATCTAAAACAGCAAATCCATTTGTGTAAAATAAAATTATGATTGATTTCTGACTTTTTTTTCTTTAGTTTCTTGAAGATTTTGAATGTAAAGTTTCAAAATACACAAAAATTATGAGTTTTTAATCCAGTTCAATGATTCTACATTGTGGACGGTATTATAAAAAGCGCAACAAGGTAAACTATTTTCAAACTATAAAAAAACATTTCGAATTATTAATCGATCTCAATATGCTGAACCAAAGAATCCACTATTTATCAAATTAAAGACTCTGAAATTTTATGATCCAGTTGGGTTTAAAATAGCACAATTAATGTACAAAGTACACAATAACCTGCTCTGCCACAGTACCGCGGAAGATGTTTGAAATTAAAGAGACTTACGGTGTACTGGCCTCGACAAAAAAAAAAAAAAAAAAAAAAATCCAAATCAAGAGCAAACATTAAGCAAAGGTGTGTTTCTGCAATACGTGCTAATTTGTGGAATAATTTCGGAACCGGCCTGAAAAAAGTGTAAATCGCTTGCTGTTTTCAAAAACGGGTTGAAAAATAATGTCCAAAAAAAACTGCTGTAATTTATAAAGATGCGAGTTTGAGTGTAATGGAACGGAATATTTATTATGAGTATGAGAGGATCGTGATAAATGTGTTAGAGTGTGTGCTTAGGTCATGCCTGTAAGTGGAAGTGCAATTGCATACTTGAGCAAGTCTCGATGCTCACTTTTTTTGTCTTCTTTTCATTTTGGGATGTACTTGACATGATTGATCTATTATCATATTAATATGAAACAAGTTAAAATACAAAAAGAACAAAGGGTAGGACTAGATAAGTTGTTTCCTTCTTCCTACTTCCATTGAACACGTCAACTTTGCTAAGTGACTATCTTGGGGGGGGTTCTTGGTTTAAGTGTTTTTTTGTACTTTCCTTTTACTTTCTACCAAATTTACGTTGTCTGTTTTCATGTTAATGGGAAGTTGACCTACAATGTCAAATCATTACGTTTTTACCCGCGAGAAGCACCGTAAACGACGGTAAATATGATTTCTGGCATTCCTCTCCAAAACAAACAGCATAAGTGATGCCGTGTCAAAACAATGTATGAATGCACACTTTTAACGTGAGTAGGAGAAGTCCATTCACCCGAGATGAGTCCATTGAAAGTAGACAGCTGTCTTTCTACCTGTATGAATGGCATTAGGCATGAGAAGTGGCCGCCGTAAACAGTTTTTTTTCTGGTGTGAGCACGAAACTTTGAAATTGTCTTTTACATCTTTGTCAGTATATGACATGTATTTTTGCAAGAATGGGATCAATGTTTCTCTTTTTTGTCATCTTGCATTGCTTAAAAAACTGTAAAATCTTTAGAGTCAGATATATACATGTGAGCACCCCTTGCCCAGGTAGTTACAGTTGAAAGAGCCATTGCAAGTTAACAGGATGCACAAATGCACTTCACTGCCAGACACAACAGCCTTCTTGTGCCAGTCTGCAACAATCTGATCCTTCAATTACACTGCTCAACAAATATTCACTCAATTGGCTATTCAGAGATGCAGTAAGAAGCTTCCAGATGAACTTCCTTGGGCTGATTCCAAATTTCCCCTTGTTTCTTCTCTCGCATATCAGGTTTAATAATAATAATAATAATAAGAAGAAGAAGAAGAATAGTAATAATAATAATAATAATCATAGTAATATTTACTCAGGTTTATGAATTAAGAGTTTTGTTCAACAACAGGTGGAATGTTTTTTCGAACGCATGGTAAAAATCTGTATTGTGCAAGCATCAAACTTAAAAACACAAGATGAAAAAAAAAACTGAAAACACATGATGTGCAAGAAAATTTGATCAATTGACCAGTGTGAGTCAAAATATGTTCAGGGATAACATCCCTGATGAAAAATTGCTGTTGACTAGTTTGATAAGACAGAGACATCACATACCTCTCTTCTTGGCACCAAAATGTTGTCCGTCTGCTTTCATTCAAGTTTTTCACAAATATAGAGGCATGTGAGGAGGTGTGACCCAACTCACTTTTGTTCTCCAAGGTAAATAAGGCAGTCCAACTTGCTCCCGTGCAAATCGAATAAATAAGGATCGGTGCTTTTGTGGCAAAACGTGTTTGAATTCATTAATGAAGGAAAAATTCTATACAGCACCTATGGCAATGTATAATGATGCGTAAAAACAACAACAAAAAAACAACAAACAAAAAAGGCTCTGCAGTACATGCAAAAACTACCACAGTGAATGTGGCTGAAAACCGTTTGGTATCGCAATACCTGAAAAGCCACACCTGACCAGGTTAATTACTGGTACTGGTAAGGGTATCATGAAATGGGGTAGGAAGGGAAGCAGAACCTAGTGTTGAAATTAACACAGTTATCTATCAACTAAACACCCACAAAACATGTACATTTTGCTTCAAAAGTTTAAGTCCATTTAGATCCACAACACAAAATATTTTTCTCTCCATCTGGTCTTCAGTGGGCGACTGGTCAGCGTGTCGGCCTCACGGTGTGGAGGTGAAGCGTTCGATTCCGGCTACGGCCTTCCTGTGTGGAGTTTGCATGTTCTCCCCGAACCTGCATGGGTTTTCTCCGAGTACTCCAGTTTCCTTACACACTCCAAGAACATGCGTGGCAGGTTAATGGAACACTCACAATTGTCCCTCTATACGAGTATGAGTGCAGATGGTTGTTTGTGTGCCCTGCGATTGGCTGGAGACTTGCTCAGCTTTGTTTTTAAGCGAGGACGCACTGCTCTATGACACAGCAGTGGTTGGAGGAATTAGCATCTTCTTCTCTAAGGGGAAGACCTAGGCTGAGGTGATCATCGACTATACTGGTCTTTGGCAAATTGGAAATCATCACAATGTTTGTGGAGGAGTCTTTTGGCCTCCATCTGTGCTCCTGGAGTATCCATGCGTTGGAAGCTGTGAAACAATTCTCTGGCTTCTCCAAAAAGTGAAGCCTGTCCATTTTCTGTTCTATTCTCCTCAACAGCACATACTGTATCAAGAAACAGTTTACATGAGAAGGTTCATCATATCCCTTCAAGTCTCAAAACAATTCCCTGGTCTTGACGTGCCACAAAGCATTGCGGTTTGTAGAGACTGAACTTTCCTTTTGGTGCACCTCGGCTCTATCGTAACTTCCATTATGTTGCTTGACCATGCGATGCCTTCAGGTGAAGTTAGCGTTTGGGGCTGATGTGAAATGTTAGTTAGCCATGTTGTTTGTCCTTGGGGTAATAAGGTAATATGTACTGTACAGTATGTGTTTAGGCCATTTGTTGTTTGCATATGCCGTGGCTGACTGTGTGTTATGTGTTGAGTAAGTAAATGATTCTCTTGGGCTACGGTAAAATGCATATGATTTGTGTCATGCAATGTTAAAATAACATGACATGGACATTTAAGCCTTCTCCGTTTAAAAAGCTCGCACTGCTTCCTTGGTATCCATTTCCTGTGTGATCTCAAACTTCGCAATGACATGTGAATTTGTCCTTGGGACAAAAGGGTATTATTTGGTTGGAACACTTTCTTTTTGCATATTTGGCATACATGCAAAATATATCGAAGTTAATATTGAAAAATATATCGGAAATAAATGGAAGAGGCCAGAGAATCCTCCTCATGACTTATCAGGTAAGGCATGGATGAGGCCATACAATCGAAGCATGGAAGAATGGCAAAGGGCTCCCTCTTGTGGAGGACCAAGAGTACCAAAATGAAATACAGTGATACCTCAGCTCACGAACATAATTGGTTCCCAGAAAGTGTGTGTCAGGCGAAAAGTTCGTCTTCCGAAAATTTATTTCCCATAAGAAACCATTAAAATGAGAATAATCCGTCCCCCATAAAACATAATTTTCTCCTAAATAAGCCTTAAAACTGCACAAAAATATACCTTATTTTATGTATAATAAATGTGCTATTGTATTGTAATTAAGGAAATAAACTGTACTGTATAAATAAAGTCGTTTTATTTACCTTTGTGATGGTAGTTGATGGCTTGATGGAATGGAGTGGGAGGAGGAGGTAGGGAGGGAGTTACTGTTTGGAAGGAGAGCCACCTTCCATAAGGACTGTAGGTAACTCAACCTCCGGTGTGGCTTCTCTTCTTTGCTTCTTAGAAGGAGACTCTTTATCCTTTCTATCTTAAGGATGGTAGCAATGGTAGACTTAGCGTACTGGTACTGGGACGCTAAGTCACACAAACGCACACCTCGTCCGTTTTTCAATCATCTCCTTCTTCTGCTCGATCGTAATTTTCTTTAATGTCTTCTTAGGCTTAACACTAGCCTGTGGTGGGGTCTTTTTCGGTCCCATAATAGCAAAAGTACACTCAATATGGTCCAAAATGTCGATCAAACACAAACCACGTCCGCACTCAAAGAAAGGGGGTGACCGAACTGGGACGCCGTGAGCGTGCGTCAGCTTCTCGTGGCCGCCACCGTGGCGCTGTTCGACCACGTGGTTTGGTTCGTCCGCCGAAAACTAGTTCGTCAGCAGAGACTATATGCTCGCGAATTTAATGTTCTTGAGGTGAAAAGTTCGTGAGCTTAAGCGTTCGTCAGCGGAGGTATTACTGTACTGTACTATACTGTACAGTGATCCTTCACTCTGCCGTGAAGTGAAAAACTACTAAATCGCGCCCCCCGCACCCCCTAGGAATTTTTGCGTAAGGGTTAGTGGGTACTGTTTTTAAATATGTACTTTACATATTTGAGACATAGACTATAGCAGTGCACTTATTTACTTAAATCTTCAATTATAAAACCTTATACACTAATTAACATTCATCAGCATTGCCTTCTGAGAGAAGCAAAGAGACTTGTGCTGATGGCGTGGAAGGCGGCCCTCATTTAACGCTCTGATGGTGTAGCCCAGGGGTGGGCAAACTTTTTAGCTCGGGGGCCATATTGATTTCTAAATTTGACAGGTGGGCCGGGTCAGCACAAGATATGGTACATATAAAAAAACGTATATGTTGACA